ACCACGTAATAGTGCAGCGTTACGACGCGAACGACCGGCCGCCAATGCTATCTCACGTTTAATTTGCCTTCTGAAGTAGCATGCCGGGTATTGATCGTAGTCGACTAATACCTTTTCACTGCGCAACGGCTTATGTCCGGCTCATCCTGTACCCTCCCATGTTGGTGATCTTTCCACCGGTTATTACCTTCTTGAGCTCTTCCTGCAGCCGTGATTCACAAAAAAAATTGAGTTTTTTTTTTCACATTAGCGACATCTGTTGTTCCTAAATAACCCAAAGGTTGTCTGGTCTGATCTACTGAGTTCTTCCGCAGCCTTTTGTCTTACTTGTTCGCGTGCTCTCGAGTCCGCCAATCTCACCGCCCGCGCCTCGTGCAACAACACTCAAGTGCCAAGTTTTCCATGAAGTGGTCTCAAAAGCCGACCATCCCTGCGCCTATCACTGATAGTACCCGCATCGTTTTCCAAGCAATTGTTGCAGAAATGCAAAACACCAGCAGATACTGATTGTTTATTCTTAGTAGGATCTTTATGCAGTATTCTGGTCTAACCCGTGATGCATATCTCAATTACCAGTGACTGACCTTTTGTTGTACCGCACGTTGTAACCTGATTCGAATACACTTTCAATTAGCTGACATGATTCTTAATGCAAAGTAAATTCGCGCGCGCACTCTCAGCAAAGACTACTCATTTTCTGCCGATCAAGCGAATTCCCATGACTTCGTATAGGAATCTCTCTGACTGTGAGCAGCAAACAGTAAATCCGCCACCATCCAAGTTACCATTCTTTTTGAGCTTAGGTGTCTTTTTCCGGGCAGCTCTCAATGTCCAGAAATGATCTATATTTATAGAATTTTCTATTATTTGCTGCTGGACAGATTTTCAACCCCATTTTTGTTCCTCGAAACAGATGTTTCCTCTAAACATTGTAGTTGAGTTTATGAACCATATTATTGTGTGGGTTCTCAATTTGTCGTATACGCAATCTGAATTCCACGTTGAGTGAAGTGCACCGCGTTCAGGGTAAAATGGCATCCGTCGGGTTTTTTTTCTGCCTTTTTGTCACTTAATAGTGACGCTCAAAACGGTGACTCTACTCACTTAAGTTTCCTCTTTTTTACTAGGTGAGACCTACGCCTGGAATTTTTTGGTGGCTTATATTACGATCAGCAGCGGTCTATGCTAACACTTTACTACACCTGCATCCCAGAACTGAGATTAGAGTTAAGGATACTTGACTGTACTTGTTTGTTGTTTGGTGGAGTTCGAAAGAAACAATATAACAAACATTTTGAATGCTCGTCCAAATGCTGTTGTTTGACGTCTTTCTGCAGACTCAAATCATTTTTACACTGACATTTATAGTAAGTTGAATTTCCAGATAGACAGTTTGAACTATGGTTAACCATGCGATTTGAAAAATGTTTTGGATGCCAACAATTTTACAAAAATCCGTAGGAGACGAGTTGTTATTGAAGGTAATTTGCAATTAAAGATGGTATATTAGCGTAAACTAGCGATGGGAATCCCAAATTCCTTACGTAAATGTTGGCGGGAAGTGGTATAAGTGGCCATGCACGCTTACTAGCGAGCGGTCCGGGGAATGCAAATCCTGTCGTGATCACTCCGGTTCCAATACAGCCTTCCATTCTTCGGGTGTCGGTTAATTGGTACCAGACTTGTCTCTGGGAGGATAAAAACACTGACTTGTACATCGGCTGGCCCCCACAAGTCATTGTATAGGCCACATCGCATTCAAACGCCACTACGAATGTACAAATGGAAGTAGAATGCGTGCCGCATCCCAAAAAGGGATTGATCAACGGCAAATGCTTTATCCTTTATCCTTTAATCATACGTTAAACAATTTGATAGGTTTTTTCTTTGATTTTGTTATTTCCGTTTTTCGCTGAGTATCTGGTCGTGTAAATGGCCTTCATTTGCACAGCGATGCGTTTCCGGTGCTATGCAAATCACCTTGGTTGACCTCGCCGGACCTGCTTGGCTATGACAAATCCCTTAATTATATCCGCCGTTTAGCCATGATGAACAAATGATGCGTATTGATCACCTGGTGGCCAGTATGGTTTCTGTTTTGCGGCGCTTCTGCACACGACATGCAGCACTGTGCCTTTACTCTCTAGCAACTGATTTGCTTTGATTGTGCTTTTCTCTGCTCCTTCCATTCCAGATCAAAAAATTAGCAGTAAGCAGCTTAGTATCGATCAGCCCCTTTTTGGTATGCGCCGCGCACTCGGCTTGTGGTGGCATTTGTATGCCTGATATGCCGGATTACAGTGCCAGAAACCCACCTGAAGGGATATAATGACATAGCTAGTTATTAGCGCCCTCACCAGGTTGGTGTGTACGTAGAAGGCTTGGTTGTTCTATACAGGTGCCAGTCTGAGGACTTTTGCACACCGCAGCGCCGCCACTTCTGACATTTATTGAACTGGAGTTATCTTTGAGTTGTTTTGTCTGTAACTGCTATTTCAGGGCCGGCATTCGCCTTGCGAATGTTTTACAAGATGCGCGGTTATGAACAAAACTTTCGTCCCAGGCGGGACTAGAACCACACCTCTGAGTTGGAATGAAATGGTGCCCCGGTAGCGTAACTGGTAGCCCGAGGTGTGGGCTCTAGTCCCGCCTGGGGCGAAAAGTTTGTTCACAACCCAGCCCTCCTGTGAAACTTTTGGAGTTCTCGTTTTCCTGTCCACGAAATATTTCTGACATACTAAACGCACAGGCACTTGAACAATTTGTTATATTGTGTGATGCGATTCAAAAGACAAAAGCCTAGTTTAAATTACATGATGGGGTGTGGGCAAAAAAAGTCTTTTTGCCCACAGTTCAAATCAGCAATCTTTTTGTCGCATAGGGTATAGTCGTTGAGGCAAGCTACTTAGAACAATACTCCCTAGATGTCCCTCCATAAGCATTAGCAGACCCTGTTTCACTGTCTTCAGAGTATGACTATCTACATCGCGCTCAGGGAGGCCTACCGCTAGTCGCTCCAGAAGTTGCTGCAAAACTTATTCAATCGACTTACTAGTGGATATTCTCTTAAAGACTGCGGCTCTGCCCATGTGAGGCCCCTTCCAAGCGGCTTTTCGGATATCGTCTCAATGTTCTTCTATCGCGAGAACCAGTCGACTCGAACCGTCCTGCCATGCTTCTGTGAAAATTTTCTTGGAAATCTTCGCTGGGTAGAAAGCTGTGGTGGTTTTTTGTATTAACGGGGATGTGTTTAAATAATAATTTCAGGAGCATGTTTTGTTGACTTTAGCAAAGTGTAATTAATTCCGTTTTGTAGCGGAAGGGAAGTGACTCATTTTGTTGTCATCCCTTCCGCCCTCCCTTGCAAACACTGGTGGAGCAAACCAAGTAGCGGCATGATAGGTGTCCGAGCTCTCGATTGACACCTACTTCGTCGATGACAAAGAGTAGCTCGAAATCTATTTCGGGGGAGAATCTGGTTCGCATATGCAATTGTCTATAGAAAAATATCAGTGGTTGGAACTGAATCTGCATATTTGTTCAGACAGCAATTAAATTGAAAATTGAAAATTATACAATACTTCCTGAGCATCTTAACGTATTTATTTATACGGAAAGAAAAGAGTTGACATGAAAGTTACCTGACAATTACATAAAGTTATAGCTACATAAAGTTCACCAAAAGTCAATGTATAAGCCAAATCCGAACATGACACCGAAGTGTACAGCCCAATTTTTTCATTTTTACATTATTATGTGGTGGGCTATGTCATACGTTGATCCCATGACTCATTGGCAATATTTGCTGTGAAATATGCAAAAATATTCCATAAACGTACGTGAGAAAAAATCAAATGTAACGTCTTAGGACACCTCTACCCATCTCCCTAGCCTTCCCATCTCGTTCGCTATTTTACAATTTTTCTATGATTTTTTATTTATCTCGTTCATTATATCGGCTACCTGTTATATAACTGTGTTCTGTTTTATTGTTAATATTAATCACCGATAATAAATCATAATCAATCTTTGCCCTGTCAACCCCCCGCTCCACCGCCCACCTCCCTGGATCGTCTCCCGTAATTAACGCACAATCTACGGAAAGTGTCACGCTTTCATCCATTTGTTTTAATTTATCCATTGGTCAGTCACAGAGAGGCGTAATATCACAAAGTGATAATCAGTTCATGTCATTATCAATAGCATTCTCGAAAAAATGATGAAAATTTATTCTGCAATTTTTTTCATCCACGATTTCCTGAAAACTTCGTTCATCTCTGATAATGGAGATATTCCGATTGCTTGGTCAATACGATGATGTTTAGCTGAGTCATGCCGAATGGAGTAGAAGCGCTTTTCTGCGCTTATCTGCCCAAACATTGGTCACTTTCTCTCCCTCTGCTCTCGCTCTTAGAACTGAACTTTCTCCAAAATTCGCTGCGATCGATAATTCCAATCAATAGTAAGGATCAGTGTGGGTAGTTGATAACTTTTGCTTGAGCTTCAGCTAGGATTGATACCAACTTGTTTCGGCTGATACCAACTTGCTTCGGCTGATCGGCTTCGGCAGCAGTCAATTCCTTCGAAGACTGTAAGATCGAAGATACGATTTCCGTCCACTTTGGGCTGGGCTTCTCAAGAGGAAGGCTATGGTGAGATCAGCTCAAAGCGCCTCCTCTCAGTAAAGCTCGTCGAATAACTCACGGAAATTTAATCTCATCAGTCTCAAGTGGCAAATAAGATTTTTCCTTCTGTTTTTAAAACTCGGCCGAGTAAATTTTCAGCTTCTCATGAACTTACGTCACGAAAATTGTTGACTTTATCGATAATCTGCACGTACATTAAACAGGTCGCTGGTAGTCGTTTTCATCTGTGACAAATTTCCACGCGACTAGCTCTACTTTCTATTTTATTTTAGCCATTCTAAACCCGGAGTCATCGCATAGCTTAACACTGATAGAGTAGATCGATCAATACCTATTTTCGGCGTTAATGAGCTGATGTGGTGGATTGTTGTGGTTTTCGCTAGCGTTGCTGCTGATTTATGGACAGAAACAGAGCGAATCAGCGATTTACAACAAGTGAGCTCTTTGAAATTCCACTTCATCCATCCGATTATAGTACTGATTTTATTGAGAACTTGAAAATCAACATCCAGTCAGTAAATTCAATCGATTCTTTTTTAAGTGGCATGCGTTATGCGGTCGTTACACGGTGGCGAAGGCTTATATGGAAGACAGTAACGCCAGGATTACGGTAATTATCGGTCGAATATTGATTGCTCACTGTCAGCTGTATGAAACCTGGATGAAATGATTTCAGGTATTTGCACCGGTCGATGATGTCTTCACTTACAATCCAGACATTCGAGCCCTTGACCAGAAGGAGACACTTAGTCACATCGGTGAGGCAGTTTGATTCAGTGGCATATTGATCAATAATTGATGTATATTGATCGTTTTCAGTGGATACCCAAGTGGTCGAGATTTCTCAAGGAAAGCGATGGGAAAAACAGACGCTTATCCGATCGACAATCAACAGCGGTTACATGTACATTACACAGTTCGAGAACAATCCAGGAAATTTTGTACGTCATCCCAGTTATTGATTGATCTCAATTTTTCGGACAACTGTTCCGGTGATAAGGGCGCAGGGGATTGGTGTTTTTCTATACGCAAAGGGGAACATACATAGGTGATTTTCATGGAATAGGTCCTGGCAAAGATCGGGTGAGAGGGCTTTTCTTAGGCAGTTTGCATGGACCGAGCAGAAGTCTGCGGGAGCTATCAGAGGAAAAGGGTAAAGGAACTGTGCGCTGTACCACAACGCCACAGATGTAGAATCAACCGTTGGTCGTACGGCGGATTCAGGCCCACCAAGCCTCCCCTCCCTCGAGACCAAGTTTATTGGTGATTCCTACCAGACTTAGCCTGGGAGGAGAAAACGCACCTGTCAATGGCCGGCCCCGCTGTTAATTGTGCAGGTCAAATCGCACTACGATTTTAATGAAACTAAAATGCGTGGCTCATCCTTAGAGAAGTTGGTCTACTCCAACTTCTTACGAGTCATCACAGTTAATCGAATTACTGACAAGAGAGTGAAAAATGAGCTTATGCTAGTCAGTCCAACTTTGTATTTACTCCGAGGTTAAGTAGGATATCGAAAACCGGATGCTCTGGAGCTTTTTGCGACCGGACCGGGACTCGGGACCGTTTTTTTTTTTGTTTGAAGAAATAGGTTAGAATAGGATTTTAGGCATTGGGGAATGTGGACGATTAGATGAAGTTCAAAGTAAGATGAAACACGGTATATGATCACCTACCCCTTTAAAAAGGTCCTTGTCCGAATTGCATTATTTACTTATTATTCCATCAGAGCTAATGTAGTGCCTCCTCACCAACCCACTGAGTCTTGAAACGTAATATTTTTTTCTAATTTAGCCAGGTTTTCGCTCTCTAATAAGGTGACAGTTGATTAATAAAGAAGTCGAATTATGTTCTAAAAGGACAACCTTTACATGGCACAAGCTCTGTACAGTGAGGCTTAAATAACTGCGGAGATCTTAAGGTGACTCTTGTTGGCTCACTGATGTCTGGAACTTTGGTCTTATCAGTTCTCTAACCCCACCAGCAACTTATGGACAAGGACCGTTAAGCCAAGACCCACACAAAAATCGCCGCACCATTTGCCGCGCGCGACGCTGCCCGCCGCGTGAGCGGCGTGACCTCATTAGCCGACGATTGAATTGACGTCTTTCCTTGACAAAGCGGTGGCCAAAATCCAACAGGAATGAAAAAAATGAACAAATAAAAACAATGCTATGCTCACCTTTATGCATTCCTGTAAGCTTGTTTGCTTACGATTGGTAAGCTTCAGATTTGTCCAGTTCAGAGTAAAAAACACTCACTTTTATGGTAAATCGGCTGACCCCCACGTTTTTGTACAAACCAAATCGCGAGATTCTTATACAATTCTGAATGGAACCTAAATGCGTGGCGCATTCCAAGAAGAGTTGATCAATGCTCTATGAGTTGAGCTTTTTATTTTGACATTTCTAAAAAGACATTCACTTGAAGCGCGCATTAGTTATAACGAGTTATCGCTGTTACACAACAGTTCCCAAGAATTTGCTCCTTTCAGTCATACTTCGCCAATGCTGGGATGTTGTGCAATCACGCATCGAATCAATGGGGGATGATTTCCGGCGAGCAGTACCTGTACAAAATCTGCACCCCAATCGGCCACCGACCTTATCCTGGCACGACTTTGTCGTTCATCCGAGACTCGATCAGACACTGTTCGTCGATCGACAGTATAACAACAACGACCTTTCGTAAGTATTCCTGTTTATCCTTTGGCCAGTTATCAATAGTAGTTTATGGCTCAATAGGTCCAAAAATGAATGCATATGTTTATGGTACAGTGGGACCGCGCGCGGTTGCGATGCGACGCTTTCTCCAAAGGCCGTTTGCAGCAATATCAGGCCGGTGGTGAAGCCCTCAAAACTTTTGAGAACCCATTCCCGGCCAGGGTCGGTCCTATCGTTGCTACTTTTCAAAAAGTTTTTACGACCCCCTCCCTCATGAAATGTTTCATACGACCCCCTCTTTCAAAACAATTTTTACCCCAAAAAATTACCGTATTACCGTCGAG